ACTGTTGTAATGTCAGTACTTCCTGCATCAGTCTGTTATGTGTAGTGTTCTCCTTGATTACAACTACACATAGGGTCAAAGTGTTAATCTTATATTCCAGGAGGGTATAGCTCAGGAAATCTCCAAGACCCAGGCAGGGAGCTCATTTTTCTTTTCTTTCCTTTTCTTTTCCTTTTGAAAAGGATGCACCTTGCTGTTTTATGAGACTTACGGGAGGAATTCCATGGAGCAGAACAGCTCACCTCGATATGCTCTGTTTGCAGAAGACAGTATAGTGCAGTCTTGTCCAGAACACCCCAAGAAGGAGAATGTTTTCTGTCTAAGCAATTCTTTTGGAGATGTCTACCTGTTCCAGGTATTCTTTTTATTTTATTTATCATGAATTTTCATAATTTTTCACATTTTCAGAATGAAAAATACAACATAATTTTAATGTAGGCATTAATAAAATCAACATAGTTAAAACTTATAGATATTAAAATAAGCAGGAAACCAAAATTCTATTAGGGATAACAAAATCCATGTGATAGCTATAAGTAAAGCAAGTTGTGGACTAAAGATAAATAAGGTTCGACACAGTTCAATTTGGAATAGAGTCTTCTCAGCAGTGGAGGATAGGTCTATCAGTGACTACTAGCCATAGTGACTGAAAGGAACCTCCACATTCAGGGGCACTAAACTTCTGGATCCCAGAGCCTGGAGGCAACACCAGGGAAAAATGTCGGTCTCTATGCCCTGTTGTTGTGGCTCCAAAGGAACTGGTTGGCCACTGTGAAACAGGATGCTGGACTAGATGAACCCTCACTGGTCTGATCCAGCAGGGCTCTTTTTATGTTCTTATGAGAAAATCCCATGCATTCCTAAACCATGGAAGCAAGATTGGGATTATTTTTTTGAGAACTCTAGCTAAGCTACCATTAGTAGATAAAAAATAAGGGCAAATTTTGAACTGACTATCATCTTACTGACATCAGAATGCAGCAAAATATAGGCTAGGACTGCAGGAGGTGTGGTACTTGTGACCAGTGTTCCCTCTAAGCTGAGTTAGTGTGAGCTAGCTCACACTAACTCAGCTTAGAGGGAACATTGCTTGTGACTAAGTAATGCCTAAAGCTCCTTACAAGGTCCTGTTGTTGTTTTGTTCCTTCATTAAATGTACTTCAGTGGCATAACCCCTAAACTAAAAAAAATGTGAGAACACCCTAGTATAGCATTCCAGTTTTCTGATGGTCTTCCCTGTCTTCTTCCTGGATTTTCCAGCAAGCACAGCTGTCAGTTTTCTTGCTTTATGAAACGAATGCTTCTGCCTATGCACGACATGGCAGATCTGGCAGCACAAAAGTGTTCACTGTCTCTCTGAGCAATGGCAGGAGAAGTTAGTAAACTTAGCAGAAGATCTGTGACTCATTCAAAGAAACGCTAGTCGATTAACAGTGTGTGTTTCAATCAATTAACTTGATAAAGCTACACGAACTTGCATACAAATAAACACAGTGCTTCTGATGGATGATGCTTGTATGACGGATGCATGTGTTGCAGTGATAGTCCTCTTAGAAGAGGTATTCCCTCCAGGGTGAGAGAGAACAAGAGATGCCTCTTCTAAGGTGGTGAACTTTTAAAAAGCAATATTGCATCTAAAACAATAACAGCCTGTGTTATGTACAATTAAAGTTTAGTTGGACACAGTTATAATCAACTGGGTGGTTCCAGCCACTGGACTCAACAAGTTTGAAGACTTCCTCCAGCCTAAGGAACATCCTCCAAACTTTGCTGAGCAAAGCGGCCTGTTCCACCCCAGTTACTAATCTTGTATCAACTCTCCAATCATTTGTGGCAGTCACTCAGCCCTGCTCACCAATCATTTTGGAATTCTTGCTGTGGGACATCTACATAATGGAGTTCTCATTGAAGTTAAATTACTTTTAAAAATATGCTTTCACCTAAACTTTATGCAGCAGGGGAAATGGGGATGCCATCAAAAGCACAGAGTTCTCACTTTCTCTTCATAATGCGTTGATTCCCTTTCTCTGTAATGTGATAACATTGCTTTTTCCATGTCACTTCATGGGTTCCCAGGATAGGCTCAGTGCTGGTTTCACTGGACGAGGTAAGTAATCCTGTACATTAGACAGGAAGGAATGGTGGGCTCAGTGCTTTGATGCTCTTTTGAACATCAGTCCTGTGTCTCACACAGCATGGAGTCCCACCCAGAATATTTGATATAATTTCTAGGAACATAAAGAAAAGCTGCCCTGGCTTTATTAACAGAGTATAGCAAGAATGTATGTTTGGGACGTTTCTTTCTGTTTCTGGATCCAGTCATGCGTCTTTCTCTCCATTTGCAGTCAACTAGGTGGATTCTGCTTTGTGAATTCTTTCAAATGCAACTTCTACCCTGTATAGTTCTTTAATTTTACACTAATAATGGGTTACATTGCCATCCTTCCAGCCAAGCACCATTTTATCTTTTATATATAAAAAAATCTTCCCCTTTAGACAAAGAACAAGCTTTACTAGCAATTAGAGTTGCCAGCTGTTCAAGGGAATGGTAATATATCACAACCCTTTTATTATTTCTTTGCTTGGGGAGAAAAAAAAGTTGCATGTGGGATTCATGGAGCAATGGGGAGGGGTTATGATGAACCCACTTATGGTGATCTCCCCATAGTTTTCTCTGCTTCTTTTGGACCAGCTAGATTTTATTTTAGCTTGTTGTTTATAATGCTAATTTTTTGTTTTGGATATGTGGGACTTTTTTTTAGGCTACAAGCCAGACTGACCTCGAAAACTGGGTTACAGCAATACACTCTGCTTCTGCTTCTCTCTTTGCTAAGAAACATGGGAAAGAGGATACAGTCAGACTTCTGAAAAATCAGACCAAGAGCCTCATCCAGAAGATTGACATGGATAGTAAGATGAAAAAGATGGCAGAGCTACAGCTCTCAATTGTTAGTGATCCGAAAAACAGGAAAGCCATCGAGAACCAGGTACTGGAATAATGTATTAATATCTGCACATTCTCTCATTCATAGTATGAGATTTGTTAATACTTTTATGCTTGAGAACAAAACATCCCTGTGGAAGACCTCTGCAAATGGGGACGTTTCCTGTTGCCTGTATGATACGGACAGTGATTTAAGAAAACAATCACAGACAACTATTCTAATAGGTTCCCCCATATATGGAAATGTCTGTCCTTCTTAGGCTTTATCTGAGCTCCCAAAAGCTAGAAAATACTGGTATTTAGCAGCTGTTCTTTCAGCTAGATATAGAGGGGGGTGTATTTTTGGCTATCAAGCATAGCCAATCCTGGATAATCCCCCCAAAATTAGGGATTATCTTGGAAAACAAGATAGCCGCAGTTAAATGGCATTTAAAGAGAGTGCACTCCCTTTAAACGCTGTTCCAGGCGCAGCACCTTTAAATGCCTTTGGCTCCATTATAACCTATGGGACAATTATAGTCAGTGATGACCATAGGCTATAATGGGGAATCTATCCGGGGCATATGCAAGGGTCTTTGGGGTCTGTTTGTTGAGGTAGAGGCACCAGGTTTTTTGAGAGTTTCTGGTGCCTCTGCTCAAAAGATTGAACCAGGGGGTCCAATTATA